TCCCAAAGTTGGTTCATATTGCTCACCTTTGACACGTGCCGTCACTTTACACAAGACAAAATCCATGTGTTTATCGTATAAACAAAATGGTCTCAATTGATATTTGTAACATTTAAATCAAATCAGTAGTATTAAGAACAAAGTACTTACATGTTTAGTTCTGAAAGTACTCCAAAGTAGCATTTAAACTGCGTCTTTTTTATACAAAACATCTCATAAATACTCCTGGCCTGTCAAAATGTCAACAGTTCTGAAACAGTATATCCTATCCATATCAGGTTAGTGTGTTTTCTGACCATCGGAGTCCGTTACAAGCACTGATTTTAACTGAAATTATTCATATCATTCAGCAGTTGCATGAAAAAACGAAAATGTAAATGAATCTAATATATTTTTACTGTAAATATTAAAATAAACAACAAACCAATCTTTGCAACGTAACTTCCTCTTTAACTTTCTTCAATTTCCTTTTGTGAAAATTTTCATTCAATGACTATTTAATATTTTCCCTTAAAATCTCTCAGGTCGCGCAAACAACAGATCGGTTAAGAAGGAGCTTTACTTTTTAAATTTCTTCAAAAAACATTATTATACAATTACTATACAAATACTTATATTGGGTTCTCTGTAGTACGATGTAATCGTACTAAACAATTTTTGAGGGCCAAAGTTTGAGGCTTAAATTGGTGAATTGCACGTACATGATTGGACTAAGTTCACTAACATATCTACATATGGCTTCTTTCTTTTCTGCTTCACGCTAGATATATCTAGTTCAAAATATCTACATATTACTTGCAGCATTGCTATTGAAAATTTGGGGAGCTTGGAAGTTGCCGCCATTCCACAGATGTTGTACGAGTCGTAGATAATTGGATGGTTAAGGGAAATCTCGTTTAAAATCTCATCTCGAATCCGGTGATATTCCTTCACTGACGATAAGTCATCGTCTTTATCATTGTCGTCCTCATCATCATCATCATCATTATCACTTGTACTATTGGCTTCTGGAGCAGATTTCTTGGACGACAAACGAGAAAAAAAACTTGCAATCTGTTTGGATGTCAGATACTCATCAGATTTAAATAGAGATGATCCATCAATATCTCGCGATATCGTCAGGGTCTGCTTTCTGGCGAGTCTGTTCGCCAAGAATAAATATGTCAGTCAAGTACTTCTTTTGATTCTTTGTAAGACGGCAACGGCTAGCACTACTTTTTAACGCCCATCCTATTGGTGATGGCTGAACATCTAATGACTCACTTGATCCTGAAGCGCTCTCAATAATCTGGTCAAAAGCTGACTCTCCGCTTTCAAGGTTTTCAGCATATCTAAGCATAGCTTTGTCAAGAAGGGTTTCTCTCTCCAGAGCGTACTTATGCTTGCCAATATCCAAGTGACTTTGGAGCGAGGAAAACCTTTGAAATGTTTTCACGCATCCTACCTCAGAGCAGGTAAACAAGTTGTCATCTGTGTCACTACTCTCATCAGGAGATTTAGCTGTGGCTTCTGTTGTCCTTTTCTTGACATTGTGCCTTGGAGTGACGTCACAGAATGTTAGGTTGGGGTCCGAGGCATCTTCCAATTTACTGAAGGACGGCATTAGTTCTGCTGCAGGAGACGTCTTTGACTGAAAATTGCTGTATGTGATTTCTTTACCTACTCCGACACCGTATGCTCTCCAGACCTTCATATGCTCATCCTTGAACTCAATATCATTGATAAAGCTCACACCCTCCCATCTTCCAAAAGGACCTGCATCAGGAATCGTTAAGGGACCACAAAGTACAGCTCTAACACTACGGACGCCACCTACTGATTCTATCGCAGTTTTCATCTGAGCTGCATTTGATATATCATTGCCAGAGTTGAGGTAAGATCGCAAGTGATTCTTCACTGTGGCCGCTTTGCGATCACATGGACCTTTACCCCCTTGTGGATCGGAAAAATCCATCCGAATGTCGACGTTGTGTTTTTTGGCAAGTTCTCATACTCCAAGTATAGTAATTCCACTGTGATAGCACCCAGCGTTGTCATGCTGGTGATCGCAAGTGCTTGAATAGGCTTTGTCATTACCCTGGCTCAAAGCATAGGGTCTGCAGTGATCAGGCACTCTTGAGCTCGATGATACATGAACCTATAAAATATTGATGTGATGGATAGATTTACAACACTTAACTGAAATATACATGCACTCTCATAAATTCTAGGCGTAATACTAGATGTACTATACTTGATTAGTAAACATCCGTAAAGAATTAACAATAAAATCCCAACTAACCTTGTAATCTTCTTTAAAATAACGTTTGGCCAGTTTAAGCTTGCTGATCACCTCTTTAGACCATGATAAGCCGTTTTCGTAGTTGTCTCCAAGTTTGTCAGCTACTTCAACGAGGTCGTCAAAAGCTTTTGCTCCTTCCGCCGAGAAATAGTCCAAACCCTGAAGAGACTTGCGAGTGGATGCCGCGCAGACGTTAAGTATCCTCGACAGACTGTTATTGCTGAATGGTGAACTAAATCCAGTTTCGGCGCAGTAACTCTGATACTGTTTGATTATCTGTTCAGGGATGGACGTTCTTATGACATTCGGTATTTTGATTTCAGATCCAGATGACAGTTTCAGTGTTTTTTCTCCGAAGGGCAAATCCTGGATAATCTTGGCACTTGTTATAAACGCCAAGAAGTGGTCAAGCTTTTCAGAAGACACCTTTATTCTTTTTTGTTTTTGTTGAGGAACTTCTGTACCTCTACCATGGAGGAAAAGATGATGTCTTTCGATGTTGTAGCGATATCTAGATAGATCTGGCAGCCATTTTTGCCGTGTTGCAAACCTAACTTTATCAGCTATGATAGACAGCATTTGTCTACGGCTGCTCCAGTGGCTGCAGTTTTCGTAGCACTCCACCATAGCTTCAAGTAAAGAGGAATCCATGTCATCAGCATTCTTTTGTCTTTCCGCCTGTATTGCGCTAAACAGAATTTCTGAGTTTTGTGGAGCAAGTTCCTCTAGGGCAGCTAAAGCGACCTGTTTTCCTTTCCTCACATAACGTCGTTTTGTGCGCTCTGCGGCTGTGTTCCACGGGATGGTCATGGACGTGCGGATTGGGCTTACATCTCTGGAAGCTAGAAAAATATTCAACTTCTCTCTTGTATTACTGCCAGCATTTAGTCCTTCTTCGTCACGTGTTTCTTCTAGTTCTAAATGTTGAGAAAATCCTGAAGGGCTAAACAATGTTGATGATTCTTGACTTATTGGAGTTTGAAGGCGCTCTTGAATGCAGGTTGTCTGCTGAGGTGTCTTGAAAGAAATCTGCTTTGAATCGTCCTAAAATTTGAAAGCATCAACTTCAACATTGTTTTAGGTACCTTACGCGCTTGGGTTGAACCAATTTCTTTGTGCCATTGCAGATTATTTGGTTGATTTTTGTAATTTTATAGCTAAACACAGTCGAAAGCCTCCCAGTTCATTACTCGTTTCCAAAATGGAAAATAACAGATAACCCTCCCGGTCCTAACAGGAAAAACTATGATGACCACCAAGCCCACCCTCAACGTACAGTCCCTAAAAGCGTAAGTTTTATAACAGTTAATCTATAAAACCTATGGGCGTACGGGCCTAATCTTATTTGGGGGGGGGGGGGCACAGTATTAGTTTGCCAGATTATTAATTCTTTTCGCCTGACTTTTGTTGCTACCGTAAAAATTTGGGGGGCATATTCCCCCCATGTCCCCCCCCCCGGCCCATACGCCCATGATAAAACCATATTAAATATCCAGGTATCATACCAGTGTTGTTTCCTTGAACTGATCTTCCATCTTTCTGAAGTTTGTAATTTCCTTTAATTTCTTACGGCATTTTCTGCACACCCCTTGCAATGATATAGAAGAATGCTTTTATAAACCAGTCATTCTTCGAAACTTCGTTAATTTATTTACTAAATTACCTGCTCCAGCTTGTAAAAAGACACCAGTGTCACGTAGCAGTAGCTCCGATTGTAACTTTCCGAGCCCTCTATCTCCTTTTGGCCAACTTTTTTTTGTCTTTCCATGGTTAGACAGAACGGGTGGTATTCTGCACCTGGTGCTCGCTCCCCTCGTTCATCCCATCCCAAGTTTTGCACGATGAAGAGGACATATCGACATTGAAGTGATATCATCTGGCCTCGTGAAAATAGCAGCACGACACAAGATCAAGTCCACCTCATTTCCCGGTCCAGAAAACGAGTACGATGCCGTGTGTGTTGTGATGTCTTTCACGCACGAAAGTAAGGGGACTACTAGTACTTCGTCCTGTTCTCTATTTCTGGTATCGCTCCACATAGTCCTCCAACAATTGACTTTAACGAGCAGCACACTTCCATAGTTTGTAACATCAATGCATCTAGAGTATGCCTGTTTGCAGGTTGTGTATGACATTAATCGAATGAAAATTTTCACAAAAGGAAATTGAAGAAAGTTGAAGAGGAAGTTACGTTGCAAAGATTGGTTTGTTGTTTATTTTAATATTTACAGTAAAAGTATATTAGATTCATTTACATTTTTGTTTTTTCATGCAAATGCTGAATGATATGAATAATTTCAGTTAAAATCAGTGCTTGTAACGGACTCCGATGGTCAGAAAACACACTAACCTGATATGGATAGGATATACTGTTTCAAAACTGTTGACATTTTGACAAGCCAGGAGTATTTATGAGATGTTTTGTATAAAAAAGACAGTTTAAATGCTACTTTGGAGCACTTTCAGAACTAAACATGTAAGTACCTTGTTCTTAATACTACTGATTTGATTTAAATGTTACAAATATCAATTGAGACCCTTTTGTTTATACGATAAACAAATGGATTTTGTCTTGTGTAAAGTGACGGCACGGGTCAAAGGTGAGCAATATGAACCAACTTTGGGAAGCATTAGCGTAACGCACAGTCATTTGCCCAAAGTAATCTTTATATCATTCGATAGATCATTATTTAGACTTGAGATTAGCAACGTTTCAAGGCATTCAAAGCTTTATAAGCACATTCACAATATGAATTTTTGTAAAACATACTTTTATCGACTCGTTTTACGTGTCTTGCGAATAAGATTAATTTCAAAGGTCAGAATTGTTCTATTGACTCCAAAGTCGCACAATCTGTCGAGTGAGAATTGTACTAGTAGATTGAGGTAGTTTTATGTGCATAGAATCAGTATTTTCTTGGGTTGAAGCCGCTAAAGTGCAGTCAATCGTAGGGGCTAAAAATAGCATTTCCAACCTTCTTCAAAAAAATGCAAATTTCTTCTCTAAAAAGCAATATATTTGATCAACTAACTACACAGCAATTCTTGGGATACTTAAGCCCAGGTCACACTACACAACGATAACGATACGATAACTTGTATACGCGCGCTGATTGGTCAAAAATTTATCGTTATCGTCCGACTGAAAAAAAAATCGCTCAGGTGAGCGATTTTAAAATCGTTATCGTTATCGTCTAACGATAATTTTATCATTTTCGTTGTTGTGTGGACACTAACACAATTTTTTTGACAATTATCGCGTGTTTACAATTTATCGTATCGTTATCGTTGTGTAGTGTGACCGGGCCTTTAGGCCTATCATTCCTGGAAATATGAGCTAAAATGATATTTGAAGGTTGGCCAGACTTGTTTGATATTTACTGACAAGCCCTCTTAATCTCTTAGAAAATAAATAGTCCCAGTAATGCTCTTACTACATGCGAAGGAATAAAATACTACACAACAAATATCAAACGGTTATTAGACACGTAAAACTTGATATCGCCGGCAAAGTTAATATCGCCATTTACATCTACTGTATATATCCGAAAAACATATTATAGCATACATTACCGTGATTTATGATTGGATTTATTGTATGTTACTAAAAAGCATTTTTCAGTACACACCGTGCACGCGTGTTTTCCAAAATCGGTGTAGGGTGTGTTATCTAACACACCAAGATGTGTTTTTGCAAATTAGTATGAGGTGTGTTCTCGAACACACCAAGGTGTGTTTTCATTCAAAAGGTGTGTTATTGAACCCCCCTTTATGCATCAAAGGTGTGTAAGAAAAGGTATGTAAAATACAGGTGTGTTTCTTAGCACACCTAGGTGTGTTTTGTTACACACCATGGTGTGTTTTCTAACACATCATGGTGTGTTTTCTAACACACAAAGGTGTGTTTTCTAAAATTGTATAGGAAGGTGTGTAAAATGTACACACCATGGTGTGTAATTAAACACACCTTGGTGTGTAATTAAACACACCTTGGTTTTTATTTTTTATTATTTAAAAATATTTTAAAACGGTAACCCTTCAGGGCTCAAATATACACCTGCTTTTCAAGGGGCCGTTTACATGCATCACACTAATAAAATTTCCTAATATAATATTACACACATATTAAAGCTTAGATAAAAATATTTACAAACAAGTATATGTATAGTACTGAAATTATGTACCGTCAAGAATACATTTAAATTTGTTTAAGCCAATGCCTTTTTCTTTAGCTGCAGTGGGCAGGCTGTTCCAAAGTGATGCAGCAGAGTAACTAAAGCTCTTTTTCATAAAGTTTGTTTCCGGCTTTTCAAGTGTATAGTTGTTATCATTACTTCGCAAGTTATACCTATCATTATTTGCAATTTTGAACATGTTTGTTAAAGACGATGGGAGTGCGTCATTTCTTAGTTTATGCAAGAAGCTCGTCTTATTGTTTTTGTATCGATTTCTAAGGGGTTGCCAGTTTAACTCTTTTAAAACGTTCTCAGAACTTACATCGTATGTGCTACCAGTGATAATTCGCGCTGCTCTATTTTGTAATTTTTGAAGTTTATCAATTAGATATTCACAACAGTTGGCCCATACCAAGCTACAATAATCAAAGTGTGACAACACAATGGCATTGTAGATTTTCAATAATGTTGATTTGGGAACAAACTGTTTCATTCTTCGCATCATCCCTATTCCTTTTGAAACTTTCGTTACAGTATTTTGAATTTGGTCGACCCATGAAAGACGCTCGTCAATAATGACTCCTAAAGTTTTTGATTTATGAACACGTTTAATTTCTGACTCACCGAGTTCAATTTTAGGATCCCCTATTTTATTTGATATACGTTGTCGTGAGCCGATAATCATATATTCAGTTTTTTGTTTGTTGAGTGTAAGTTTGTTTGCAAGTAGCCATTGATGCACATTTTCTAAGTCTGCGTTTAAGCGTTCTTGTATTTCATTGCCAGTATCACCGTGAGTTGAAATGTTTGTGTCATCAGCAAACATGCTTGCTGAAGACAGACTCAGACAATTTGGTAGGTCATTTATATAAAGCAAGAACAGCAGTGGGCCTAGGTTTGAACCTTGAGGTATGCCACATTTAACAGTCCTTGCCTCAGACATTGCTTGGTTGACCTTGCAGATTTGAGTCCTATTTGTAAGATAAGATCGAAACCATGCAAGTGTATGTCCTCTTATTCCATAGATATGCATTTTCTTAGTTAATATATGGTGGTCAACGCAGTCAAACGCTTTTTTGAGATCCAGAAAAATAACACCGTTCAAACAACCCTTGTCCATATTAATTAACCATTGGTTTGTAATGTTAAGTAGGGAGGTTTGTGTGGAATTATTTTTTCTGAATCCTGCTTGCTGTTCCGTAAGTATGCCGTTAGATTCCAGATACGTTTCAAGCTGTTCGGTAATTAATTTCTCAAATATTTTAGAAACTGATGATAGAACAGAGATTGGGCGATAATTATCGCAATTTGTTTTACTTCCAGATTTATGAATGGGTGAAATGATTGCAGTTTTAAAGTCATCAGGAAATACACCCGCATGTATAGATGCATTAAATATGGCTGTTAATGTGGGTGCTATAACTTCAGCCGCATCTTTCAGAAGTTTGCCGGATATTCTATCATGGCCTGCTGACTTGGATGTTTTTATCGTCGAAAGCAATTTAAATACTTTTGTTAATGAGACGTTTTGAATATTAAACCGTGCGTTGGATGAGGTTAAGTAAGACTCTGCCGTCTTGGAACTTTGTGGAATGTCTTTTGCTAGGTTTGATGCTACCTCATTGAAATGCGCGTTTAAGCTATTTGCGATCTCCTCTGGTTTTGTCACATTTTGATTGTCATGTTGGATTTCGGATATTAAAGTTGTTTTTGACTTTTTTCCTGTAAGTTTATTAATCGTTTTCCACATTTCTTTGGGATTTTTTTCGCATCCATTCAAAGTGTTCCTAAAATAAGTCGATTTTGTATTTTTAATTAATCTGTTTAGATCGTTACGTGTTCGCTTATAGGCATCATGAAACTGTTTCGATCCTGTTTTAACTGCTTTTTTTTTCAAAAAATCTCTTTGTTTCATAACTTCCCTAATATTATTTGTGATCCATGGAGCATACTCACTTCTAACCTTTTTGGTAGTCTCGGGAGCGTGAAAATCGGCGATTGATAAAAATGTTGTTTTCCATTTTTTCCACATTATATTTGGATCAAGCATAGTATCCCAAAATATTCCGTTGTGTAAATAGATGAAAATATCTGATTTAAAGTTGTTCACGCTGTAATGCTTGAATTGTCTTGTTTTAATAACTTTTGGGTCATTACGGGGAATAGAAATTTTTCTTTGAATATAAATTAAACTATGGTCACTAATTCCCAGATGGATGATTCCTGAACAATTTATTAATTCCGGTTTATTTGTGAATGCTAAGTCTATTAACGTTTTCGTTGTGGACGTAATTCGTGTTTGTTCATTAATCAATTGCTCAAATTGAAAAGTTCCTGCAAGTTCGGCAAGTTTGTTTGTCTGGACATTAGCTTTATTGTTAATTAGGCGAGACCAATCACAATTGAAGTCCCCAATCAAAATAACTTCTTTATTTTCGGAGTCCATTTTAGTAATTAAATCTTCATAATTGTTAAACAATTCTAGTGGTGTATCAGGTGGTCTATACCAACAATTTATTAAAAAGGGTTTAGATTTTGGTTTAGAGATTTCGATTGTGATTGTCTCAAGGTTTTCGTCAAATAAATCGTCTCTTATTATGTAGTTTATTGAATTTCGTATGTAAATTGCTACGCCTCCGCCATGCCGGTTTCTGTCTTTTCTAACAACTTCATAGCCATTTAGCTTTATCTCGTGGTTTGGAACAGACAGATCTAGCATTGTTTCATTTAGGCTAATTATGTCAAATTGTTGTTTGTCAAGGTATATTTTTAATTCATCGATATGCTTGATTAAACTTCTTACGTTTAAGTGGGCAATTTTAAAACCTCTTGTTTTCGGATAGTCGGCATAATTTGCATTTGTATTACGATATGTATTATTGACGGGATCTTGATTTCAATCAAACACTTGGTTTTTTAAAAATTGTTTTACGTTTCCTGCTAGGGTAGATGTCCCTCTTTGGTTTAGATGTAGTCCATAATTATTGAGATGAATTTTAGTTATATTATCATGTTTAATAAGACCCCAGTTATGCTCAGTACATAGTTCATCTAGTTTCTTATTAAAAACATTTACCTTGTCGGCAAGATTCGCATTATCATTTCTAGTTATAACTTCCGAGAGTGTAAGTTCAGTTCCATTTCCTTCTTGAGTAATTGTTTCTCCGAGTCTGCTTATCGCCGTTATTAATGTAACTGGTGATTTGGTTTGAAGGTCGTTCGTACCTACGTGTAAGACAACATGGTTTGGTTTTTTCTGAAGTGTTGGTCTAACGTAATGTATCATCTCGTCTACACCGGCCCCAGGAAAAGTTTTAATCGTGACTTTATGGTCCAATCCGTGTTGAATTTTCCTTGGATTCAAGTGTTTTAACATGGAGTCACCCAGAATGGCAACAGTAGGGCGGTTGTGCTTCGTGTTCTTAGGTATATTTGCTTCTTTGACTTTCTGTGAATCTTTTTTAGAGTGTCGGTTTCTTTCGTGTCGTTGGTCTTGTTTTGGGACTTGTGTCGCGGTAATGTCGTCGCTACGGTTATCAGATACATTATTGCTGTCTGATTCACTATCGTCTACGTCCGATATACTTAAAGCAGTATACTGATTCTTTTGTTGCACGGATTCTTTTGCTTTGACATTTTTTGTACCAACAGGATTATGGGCTGACGTATTTCGTCCCTCCGTGGTCTTTGTGCGGTTGTTGACAACATTCCATGATGCCTGTTGTTGTTCTTGATCGTTTTGAATAATTTTAATGACCGTAACTAAACTATTCTTTTCGTTTTCCAAGCCCTTAACTTTTAAATTCAGGTCGGACATAACGCACTTATAGCTGGTGATTTGCTCTTTAAGTGAATCGTTTTCTTTTTTTAATCTGGCATTGTCTTTCGTGAGAAGTTTATTAACAGCCGATGACTGATCGTTGACAGATGATTTATTCATGGCTTCGTTCTCTCCTCTTATCATTTTCCCATTATATAACTCTATATTTTTGTCTCATGTATTTCGCTCTCGAGGTTGTTGATCTTTTGTCCCAATCTCTTCTCAAGTTTTTGCACAGTGTCAAGCAAAACTTCGTACTTGTCGTTTCCGTTTGTATTTGTTAAGCTCTCATTGCAATTAGTGATGCAAACGACCGAATCGTCTTGGCCGGTTTCGTTTGTGTCGGTATCGATGTTGTTTGTCGTTTGAGAATCAGCTTTAGTTAGGGTGGCAAGAATTCGAGAGTTGAGATTTCATATCTTCGCTCATGTTTCCGTTTATAGTAAGTGAATTATTATTTGAATACCATCTAACCACGATCTCGTCCAAGTCCAGCATTTTACAGTAACCGCTTGACGACCATTTTGTCTCCTTCTCTGTAATTTCGTTCATCATCGTTTTTAGGCTTTCGAAGCTGCCGGGCCATTTGAATTTCCCTTTTTCGTTAACTGTGAGGTTGTTCGCTTGGCTGTGTGATTATCATTATCATTATCATTATCAGTTGTATTTTCGTGTAGATTTTGTTCAAGTGTGGAACTGTTCAACATACGTCTGTCCGCCATTTAGCGTCATACTAAATCCTAATATATATATAAATATATATATATATATATATATATATATATATATATCTATATATATATATATATATATATATATATATATATATATATATATATATATATATATATATATATATATATATATATATATATATATATATATATATATATATATATATATATATATGTATATATATATATTCATCCTCGAAAAATTGAGATCCGAATTTAAGAATGAAAACATAGGACTATACATGCAGAGACGATGGACTTGGCAGCTTTCAAGAACGTGGGAGCCAAAACTTCGAACAGCATCGGAAAACGATTTCAAAGTGCCTAAATTACCATACAGACAAACCAGAAAATAGTAAATTACCTTGATGTCATCTTTGATTTAAACAATGGCTCTTATAATCCCTATAGAAAACCAGACAATACCCCCACTCTACATCAACGTACAATCAAACCACCCGTCACCAATCATTAGACAAGCACCTACATCAATTATTAGTCAACGAATTTCCGATCTGTCATGCAATGCCGAGAAGTTCCATAAAGCGGCCCCGATTTACAGCAAAGCCCTTAAAGAGAGCGGTTTTGATGATAAATTAAAATACTTGCCCAGACCAACACTGCAAAATCCACACAAAAATAGAGCGCGGAACGTTATTTGGTTTAACCAGGGCGTTTATAAGATAGGGCGGCGAAACGAGCATAGGAGCCCAGATATGTCTGTGATGCAAGGGACCCCCCAAATATTCGAACACATGCGAGTAAAAATGGTGGAAGCTCAAGCTGAAATGGAAGAGGAAGATTTTGATTTAATTCTTAGTTTAGACGACACCGATGCCGAAAAGGATGATAAAACATCCCCTGTTATTCGACAGTCGACTGATGCTTTCACTATCAATGAAGTGATCGCAGTTCTCGAGAGGATTTCTTCCAGCACGATAAAATCCGAAGCTGAAACAGCCACAACAATATTGCGAAACACGCGCGGGAAAAAAGATTTTGCCACCTTGGATTGCTTTGTGTCTGTATTTGTCGAGGCTTTTAATCAGTGCAATGGTTCGGTGAAGAAGTTTAAAAGCGACAGCGTACGGGCTATTAGGTTGGAGAAAAAGTTTCCCACTCTGAGAAATGACAAAGTGTGACCAATCTATTTGATGATTGAAACGACTTGCAGGAGATGCCCATAGTTTTGAGACATCTGTTGTGGTGAAATGAAGGGTGTTTTTATCACTGTTAAACTGCTTGGACCACTTACTATTTAATTTGAGCATAATGGCCTTTTTAAACATTTGGTTAACATAGTTTAATATGTCATATTCTTTGTTTAAGCAGCATTCTGCTTTGTTTAATATCTAGAGGCCCTGTTGCATGCAGTGAGACTTCAATTGATGTAGCAATGAATTCATTGTTGTCTTATCAAGTTGTTCCCCTTGTATAAGACTGGAGTGAGTAGGTGATTGGATTGTTCTAGGAAACATCTCACATTATTCTGGTAGAAAACCCATCTGCATGTACCTTCTGTTTTTCCAAAACCCTTCACTTTGTTTGTGTAAATAGTTTTGAATACTGTGACTACTGTATTTCACACCAATAATTTGGTAAATTATGTCAATTATTGCATCATATTTACCAGGTGCATAATTTTTGGTGAAGGGTGCCACTGGAAACACAAGGGTCATCATAGAATAGAGTATTATAAAATAACATGTATATAACGCGTGCTCTGATTGGTCGAAACCTGTGTTTGGATCAGGCCATCCAAACACGGAAACTATAAATTAATTGTATAGTAGCTCCTCTTCACGCAATGGAGAGTTGTTAACAAACTGTACAGGGATGGTTGGAATGAGATTATCTTTAGAGTTATCTGACACAGAAGGGGGAAATGGTGTTGTAAATCGATTGTTTTGTGTGCATGTGTCACTTAAGTTAGCAGGTGTAGAACAAGATGGAGTTGAATTATTAACAGTTGGGTCCAGAGCATTTCTTTGTGGCCGAGGTGGTGTGCTAAATTCTGCTCTTCTCTTGGGTGTATCCAGGGCCGTAGCTAGCATGTATAGTTGGGGGGGGGGGGGGGGTGTAGGCCAAGACATACGCGCAAGACATAGACGCACAGACATATTACAGAAGCAGTGCCGTAGGAAGCTCTCTTTGATTGGGGGGCTGAAAACGAGGGCTGGAGGCCCAAGGAAATTTTTAAATTTAGAGTCTCTGAAATGCCATTTCCTGGACTTTGTGGGAAGTTTTGACAGAATTATGATGGTCAGAAAACAGCGTTTTAGTATGTCGAAATTTACAGTTTGCTTACAATTCAGTAGTACCAAATGGCCGAAATAGTACGGCTCTGAGAAGTAATAAACTGAAAAATATTCACGATTTGTTAAATGTTATCATGTAAATGCCATAATTTCATAAATCACCCTAACCCTAACCCTAACCCTAACCAGAACTTAGGGCCTGCGAAACAACGAAAGACTTCAAAACATATTTTAAAACAGAGACTTGTAGAAACATGTACATTTAAATTTAGGACCAATCTTAAGACATTTTGATGTAAATAGCATATATATATTTGTGTAGTAATACCAAGTGTGTGTATGTGTGTGTGTGTGTGTGTGTTGTGTGACTGTGTGTTGTTATGTGTGTGTCTCTATCATTATGGTGTATAAAAATTTAGATCAATTATGTAAAATTTCGCTGAAAAGCCTTTTAAGGGATGTGAAATTAAATTACAATAACAATAACAATACTGACAATACAATTTTATAATATTTTCTCTGTTTAACAACTAAAATTTTGTTCTACTAATATTATTGCCGTAATTTTCCGAATGGCCAGCCTGATTCTCCGAATATGTTGATTCTAAAAAAGTTGGGGGGGGGGGTTAACCACCCATACCCCCCGCCCTTGCTACAGCCCTGGGTGTATCATTGTATCCTCTCACTGGTGAAGCCGTTCTTTTCAAATTATTTGACATAGTTGTAAGAGTAGAAAATTATAATATAAACTACCAACTAGTTGTGTATAGTATAGATATATACAAAACTTGCTAGACCAAATTTTATGTCTATTTAAATGTGCACTTTTAGATATTTGATATTGAACCAATTATCAAAGTCGTTATGGCTTGTTTTTCTCGGTGTCTTTTTAGTTATATTATCTGTGTTGTGTAGTTAATTTAAAATACAAAGTGTTTGTTTACCCTTTTTAAATTTATTTCGCAATAAATAAATAAATTTCGCAATTTTCATCGTCTCCGTCGGTATTTAATTTTGTGTCTGTCCGTCTTTATAACAAACGTACTTGCAGGGAGGTGAGTCCAGGATTGGACGCACCGAGGGTGGCTGGAAGTTTCCCGAACTTACCGAGCGAAGCGAGGTGAGTTCGGGAAACTTCCAGCCACCCGAGGTGCGTCCAATCCCGGACTCACCGAACCTGCAAGTACGTTTGGTTTTTATCCCATACGCCGAGCCATACACACATTTGTAGCTCTTCGCGATATATTCGTCGATGTTTTGTGAACATTTTCCCGGCCAAAAAAATCACTGGGCAAGAAAATACTTCTTTATCTACGTCTACATTACCTTTACTGCATTTTTTCTTTGGTTTTTCTTCAGTCTCAGTATGTTAGTCACCGAAAAAAGTTCTTTAAAGTTTAGGTTTATCGGCTAAATCTTGTCCGCCATATTTGTTATTGTTATTGCAACGTAAGCAGTTTAGCGGGTGAGTTCGGGCGAAAAGCAGGTGAGCTCGGCAAAAAGCAGGTGAGCTCGACGACAAGCTCACCTGCTCTAAACCAATCAGAAAGCCGCTTTTAATACAGGTATGGGATAAGACTTAGACTTGCTCCAAGTCTCTCTTTGTGGACATCTATATATTGTACATCTATATTGTAGATGTACAATATATAGATGTCCACAAAGAGAGACTTGGAGCAAGTCTAGTCTTGACTTGCCTCATGCCTCAATCTTCCGGTTGGCGCGGCATAATTCGAAATGTCTGCCGAATATTTTTCCGTTGTGTCGTGTTTGTTCCCATATTGCAAAAAAGTTCAAAAAATTAAGTGACAATATTTTTACCAAAGAAAGATCTGATAAGGGACTAGTCGTCCTTGGATTTGCTAAGTTCTGGTGACAGTACAAGATATTTTACAAATCGAAGGCCGGTTGGAAAAGCGAAATTCGCAGTGACGATGAACCCGAACACTTGTTTGAAAACAATTCTCATTTACTCGTTATATGTTGGCTTCCAGTCAAGGATGAACATGCTGGTAAGAAGAACAAGTATTCCTTTGTCGATTTAAGAATAAGAGTGGCCAAAAAACGAGTATATTTCTTTTATATTCGTAAATTTTAAAACTATACGAACCTGGGAAATTTTTCAACTGTGATCAATTTTTTATGCTGTATTCAGCAAGCTATTGCAAGAAAGGTTCAAAAAATTACGCCATGAAATTTAAGAGGAATAAAGATTTGTACTTTGCTAACATGCATTTAAAAAAGCTAAGTTCTGGCTTATTTTTGAGATATAAAATAAGTAATTTATTTACGCATCCTAAAAAACGCGTAAGGGAATCCATTATGATGTTCGGCTTTCATGTGCAAAATTTTCGTAGTTTTGTTTTTACGATTGTCTTGAACCATGCCATGTCAATTGTAAAAAACGTAAATAACCAGATGGCAAAATATGGCAACGATAGACTGCATAATTTCGGCAAAATAAGAGATTTAAAAAGTGTCTTCGAGTTTCGCATCAATATTTTGTTTTGATTTAAATTTCGCACCTTCCCCGCTAGCCCCAGTCCTAATTTGCATCACACAAGTTTCACGCGAATTACTGGCGTTTCGCCGCCCTATCTTATAAACGCCCTGGTTTAACCCACCATGCATACTCAGCAAATGTGCTAACAAATTCGACAGAGCAGTTTTGGAACTTGTTGACAAGCACTTCCCACCTGGCAACACTTTAAGAGAAATCTTTAACCGAAATACAATAAAAATAAGCTATAGTTTCATGCATAAACATGGCTAGCATAATTAAAGGACATAACAAAAAAGTTTTGAACAACGAGAAAGCAAGCAGCGCCGGATGCAATTGTAGAAACAAAAATGACTGCCCATTAGATAAGCAATGTTTAACAACAGCTACAATATACCAAGCGAAAGTCTTTGAACTAGAAAAAGACGACGACCCTAAGGTTTACGTCGGCATGGCGGAATCGGAATTCAAAACGAGGTTTTACAACATGCATACCCTATTATTTAAGAACAAAGACTATACAAACAAAACCGCGCTATCGAAATTCATTTGGGACCTGAAGAAAACGAAAAGTGATTATGAAATTAAATGGTCAATTTTGAAGCAGGCTAAACCGTACGCAAGTGGAACAAGAGTTTGTAAACTGTGCCTGGCAGAAAAAATGGCAATTCTAAACGCTCACAAGGGAACTCTTCTAAACAGACGATCAGAATTGATATCAAAATTTCGGCACGAAAACAAGTTTTATACTTTTATGCTAGTAACGTAACGTAAACAATAGGTTTTAATTGTAATTATGTAAAGATTTATGCTAATTTTAAATAGTTTAAAATAGGTATAAATAAGAACGTTTTAATACGGACAGGCAGTCTGATGATCGCCAATATAGGCGTGAAACTCGAGTAAATGAACTTAATAGTTTCTAATTTTTAATGTTTTTAAATTAGTTGAATTTCACATTCCAATATATATATATATATATATATATATATATATAGCTTAAGATTTTGGTTTACGAAACACAAACAGTGCTCAATACCATATAGATAGAGCGTAATATAGTTTTCCGTTTTACCTCAAAAAACCACAACAGTCTGTTTCATCCGTATAGGAATCATCAGGTGGTCTGATGATTCCTATACGGATGAAACAGACTGTTGTGGTTTTTTGAGGTAAAACGGAAAACTATATATATATATATATATATATATATATATATATATATATATATATATATATATATATATATATATATATATATATATATATACACACATATATATATATATTTAAAAAACTCATTAATAATTCTTGAAGAAACACAAAAGAAATCATGGGCGTGAAGGAGTCTTTATATGTGATACAGATTCATGTTGATTTACATAAACTTTAACTTTGAATTTCTCGGTTTAGACAACGTTTATTTTTAAAATTACTTCGCCAATGAACTCATAAGATGAGTCGTTTTTTGGCTTTACCTCGGTGTAAGAACCTCACGAGTGACGTCACACAACTCAGTAGATAAACGAGTGATGTCACACAACTCAATAGATAGGTTAATTGGTTCTCTTGGTTCTTATGGTTCAGTTGGTTCTTCTGGTTCACTTGGCTCTTGTGGTTCACATGGTTCACTTGGTTCTTGTGGTTCACTTGGTTCACATAGCTTTACCTCGGTGTAAGAACCTCACGAGTGACGTCACACAACTCAGTAGATAAACGAGTGATGTCACACAACTCAATAGATAGGTTAATTGGTTCTCTTGGTTCTTATGGTTCAGTTGGTTCTTCTGGTTCACTTGGCTCTTGTGGTTCACATGGTTCACTTGGTTCTTGTGGTTCACTTGGTTCACATAGCTTTACCTCGGTGTAAGAACCTCACGAGTGACGTCACACAACTCAGTAGATAAACGAGTGATGTCACACAACTCAATAGATAGGTTAATTGGTTCTCTTGGTTCTTATGGTTCAGTTGGTTCTTCTGGTTCACTTGGCTCTTGTGGTTCACATGGTTCACTTGGTTCTTGTGGTTCACTTGGTTCACATAGCTTTACCTCGGTGTAAGAACCTCACGAGTGACGTCACACAACTCAGTAGATAAACGAGTGATGTCACACAACTCAATAGATAGGTTAATTGGTTCTCTTGGTTCTTATGGTTCAGTTGGTTCTTCTGGTTCACTTGGCTCTTGTGGTTCACATGGTTCACTTGGTTCTTGTGGTTCACTTGGTTCACAT